AAAATTTGAAACATAATCTTTTCAAGTCATTTCTTTCACATGATCATCATTGTACCTTGGCAGCAATGAAAAGAGGCGTTTGACCCTTGTCATCCTGAGCATCTCTGTTTAGCCCTCCATGTTGCAGCAACAAGATGGCCGCGTCCAAATTATTGACAGCAGCAGCCCAGTGTAAGGCTGTTTTGCCTTTTAAAACAAATTGTTCAAAATAGTAATAAAATGAAAAATAAAATGCGCCATCAATCAAATTATTACGTTATCAAGTTACCACATAAGTTAATTCAAATGTCAATTTTTTATAAAATAAACCTTGATCGTCGCATTTATTCAGATCGGCGTCAGCTTTTATAAGCACCTCGACCATGCCGTCAATTGCGAACCGAACTGCGTACATGAGTGGCGTCGTGCCATCCTTCATCTGCATATTCACCGAACATGTCCGGCATCTCAGCAATATCTGCATGGTCGATAATGTTGGTCATTTGTTACTTGGTGTTTGAATTGGTTCAACATGTTCAATATGTGCTGGCCGCATCGTTGGTGAACGACCTTAAAAAATCGGGACATGTTTGCAGATGTCCTGTCATCAAATTGTTCGAGTCTTTTTTGAAAGTTTTATCGGCCAGGAACATCAAAGGATAATGAATGAAAGAATTTAAATTTCCGGTTTACTTTTTGACTTGCATTTCAATTATTTTAAGATTTTTCCAGTTTTTTTTTATCCACGACAACTTTGTCATCAAATTTAAAAAAGCTCAAAAATTTTCGCTTGTCGTTTCGTTAGCCACTTTTGACAAATAGAACCGTTGCTGTCTACAAAGCTGAACATTTGATTGGACTGATTTAAATATATTAAAAGTAGCAAAATAATTTTAAATTAATAAAAATATGGTGTGTTTGTTAAACTTTCAGAACTATTCGAAAATGTCCACCAAAATCAAAACTTGCTGGTAATAATTAAAATTGAACTACGTTGCTGTTTGGGCCATAATTAAAGTAACCGAGTTACATCAAATCAGAGAGGTAATAAAGTTAGCATAATCAAAAAACAACATTACTGAAAATTAACATAACCAAGCAACATCATATCTGCAGTGAGTTAGCATGAGCAAGTAAGATCAGTAGGGAAAGAGAACATAGCCGATCATCAACGAACCTGGAAGACTCCGACAGCATCCGCACCGATGGCAGCATGCAGGGGGGTCATCCCGTTGTGGTCCTGAGCGTTGGGGTCTGCATCGTCCTCGAGAAACTTCTGCGCGGCATCTGCTCGAGAGTAGCGAGCCGCTAGATGAAGAGGAGTCTCTCCTGTCACGTGTTAACGATGTGAGGATGTGGTTGTGAGGATGTGGTTGCGATTACGTGGTAAATATAATGATCGTGCATTAAAAATATTGTAGCCTAATTTTAATCTAACCTGTCTTTTCGTAGTTGTTCAGTGCCTCGTTTATCAGTAATTTGTAGATGAGATCGCTGTCGTTACATTCAACGCCTCCGTTCATGTTGTTGTTGTTGATGTTGTTGTTAAGAAAGAAACTGTTGCCAATAACACTGCTGACAACATGATTTTTAGGATAACCGAAACTACTGAATGAATTATTTGGTAAGCCTAATGATATTTCTCTGTAGTTGTTGTTTATAACATGAGCGCTGCTGTCAATAGTACTATTACTGCTAGTTAAAACAACGTTACTCTTGTTGTTGCTGCTGCTGTTGTGGCAAGCATTTATGATTCTTTGCGGCATGTCTGAGTTGTTGTTGCTGTTCAAGATGGCGTGGGAAAGTTTGGCTGCACCGTCCGTCGACTGCGTAAGATGTTCAAATATTAAAAAAACTGAAAAGTTGTTTTGTTAATTTATTGTTTACCAGATGTCAGGCGAACAATTTTAAAAACTTGTAACGATTGTCTGGTCACCTGCTTGGTGAGGGAGCCGTTGTAAGATCCGTTGAGGTCACTGAAGGAGTCGTTGTTGTCTACGATGGACTTGTTTGAACTCGATGACATGTGATCTGAAGGTCTGATTGGTTGGTTGGTTTGTTTGTTAGTTGATTGATTGATTGACTGACTTGTTAATTCATTGAACGGCTGGTTGATTAGCTGATTTATAATCTGTTGTACACGAACAGTAACAAACGAACAAACCTGTTCTTGAAGTAGCCAGGCGGGAACCAGGTTTTCAATGTTGTTTTCTTCTTCTTCAGAATAACTGTTACCACGAAGGCCACAAGAGCTATCAACACAATGACGCCCACGACGATGGGCACCGTCGAGGACTGCGGAGAAGGTGGTTGGTTCGGGTCAGTTAAAGCTGTTGGCGTTGACAAACGTGTTGACAAATTTCTACATACTAATGCAGGTAAACAAATTTATGAACGCACAGTTCGTACAGCTTGGTTGATTAACAACACCGAAAATGATGACAATAACTAGCATACTAATTGTGAAAAAAAAAGTTGAATCCCTCAAATAACTTGAATGGCTCATAAAAAAATTCATAAGATTCATTAAATCAAAAAATTTATAAATCAATTGTCGTTATTTTACAAAGATTTAAACAACTGTTTCCTAGTAATTGATTTGATGGTATATAACCAAACCAAGCAAATGATTCTTGTGAAATTATTACATTCAAAATGTCTACGGAAGTTTTTAAGGTACCGTTGCAGTTGGAACTCAATATTTTCGTTTAAATTTCTCTTCTATTTAGAAAATTTTTTGACAATTCAAAGCAGGACTATATATTGTTCTTAAAGATTTGTCAATCTTGAGCAAACTTCAAATGAATGTTACGGGGTTTTTTTGAAGAGAACATTGAATTGGAAAGGAATTTAACTTCTTAATTACCACCATTAAAATGTGCGGATAAAAAGAATATGACCATTCAATCAGTCGTGCCCACTAACTCGTAACACGAGATATTGGCAGATCAAACATTTTGGTCGCATTATCTTGCAGCACCTTTTTCAGGAATGCCCCGGCGTACTTGATGTCAGAGAAGCACATCACTTGATCACTGCCAGCCGTCGGATGACCCAGCTTCAAACGGACCTCGATCCTGAATGCGATAAAAATTGTGATGCTGGTACAAATGACGATCGTGTTATTTCATCACGAAAAAATGAAAACACAAACCCGTTGAAATCGACATTATTGTTTTTTATTTCTGGAGACCCATCAGTACCGAGTTGCAATTCAAAATTGCACCTGAGAACAGCGGTTAGATTTCTAAGAAATTCGCTACGCCTTTGTAGAAAAGTTTCTTTTGAAATGGAAAGTTGAATGATCATGGTCCCATCAAGTTGCTTGTATCGAATTTGGTTTTGTTGGTAGCAGTCCGTGCCGTCGAAGTTGCAAGCCACGTTGTTGCATTCCGCGTCGCATTTCTCGTTGTCGAACTTTTGACTGCTCGTGTTGTTGCGAACGAGATTGAGTGATTCGTTATTAGCAGTTCGTAAATATTTTATGGAAGATATATTTTTATTCTGTAAAAAAACCAAATCTGTCAGAAAGAAGCGGAGAATGGTCCAACGTGCGTGAAAAAGAAAAAAAAGTGCAAAATAAAATAAAATAAATTAGGCGTGCATTTTATTTAATTTGAAATTAATTTGAAAAACAAAACCACTGTATTTATTTAAAATATAACAACTTAGCAAAGATTAAATAGCTCAACATAAGCATCTTACAACAAACAATTTAGTGTTTACACTAATTGCAGTTTATAACAACAGTAGAGTGAAAAATTTGTTGAGCCAGTTGTTGGGCTGTTCAGATTAAACAATCAAATAAGCAAACTGATAAGAGGGTGACATCTACGCACCTGCACGTTTCATCGGGGCATGCGAAGACGGATGACTTACAATCGTGTCCGTCGTAGAGGCAGGCCTCAATGTCGCATTGCGAATCACAGCGATTGTTTTGAAAGAGTTCTGAACAAGAACTGCCGTGTGAATCTTTTGGTACTTGGCAGTTGTTGTAAGGAGAGTTGCTGTTGCTACTGTCGTCGTCATTGTTGTTGTTGTTGTTGTTTAAGACATTGTTGTTAGAAATAGTTGTAACTGAAACTTTAGTAGATGCTGTTGTATTTGTTGATGGTTTGATCAAACGAATTGAAGTGACATCAACGTTGTTGTTATTGTTGGGGATCGTTGCTACCACATTGGTACATGGACTGATTTGTTGCAATGAAATTAATTTGAGATAGAGACAAAATTCAAAAAGTTAATATTCGATAAAACTTTAAAATTATATTAAAATTTGTAAAAAGATGATTACAATCTCCGAAAGACAACTCACGGTGCCTCGCACGGTTGATATGTTTCGCAAAACTTCCCAACGAAGGATGTCCTGCCGCAGTCGCATTCGTACTTCCTGCTGACCCCCTTCGCGATCTCGAAATCAGCAGTTTCATCCAGGTCGACCATCTTCTTGTTGTTGTTGCTGTTGATGTTGTTGTTGTTGCTGTTGTTGTTGTTGTTGTACGATTCTTTGCACACACCACCATTCAAACATGGAGTTAATAAACAGTTGTCGTCGTTTGCAATGTTGGTGTTGTTTGTGGTAGGAGTGGTTGTGGTGGGAGTGGTTGTGGTGGCGGCTGGCAGAGCTTCCTCACAGTTTGTTCCATAAAATCCTGCAGCGGGCAAATAACGAACGAATAATTTTAAAATTTTAAAGTTGACGAATGTGGAAAGCAACCGATAAAAATATTGTTTAATTAAATTGATGCATATTACTAGGTAAGTTTATGAGGGTAAGAAATAATGAATGGACGAGGAAAGAAGCAACCACCTGAGTGTGATACGACAAAATATGTGCCATGAAGTGGAAATATTGGTAAAATTGAGTGTACTGCTAATTACCATAATGAAGGTTGTTACAATGAAGAAATTGATGACGATGACGTCAACAATGATGATGACGTCAACAACAACGTGTATAACAACAACGATGATATTAACAATGGTGATAACGACAACAATGAGAATGAAGTAGAAAGGAGCTAACCATCAGCACAGTGGCAGACATAATCTCCAAGAAGATTTTCACACGTGCCGCCATTCTGACAGGGATTTGAGATGCAGTACGGTTTCAAGTTGTGGCAAGTTTTTCCATAATATTGCGGAGGACACTGGCATTGGAAGGAGCCAGGAAGGTTGCGACATGTGCCTCCATTCTCGCAAATGTTACCTTCAAGACGATCATCATATTTACAGCGCACATGGGAAGGAGGCATTAAATAAGGGGTGTGCAAACAAAATCAAACGAAATCATCTATAGTGAAAACACGGTCTGCTGTGCATACAACATCAAACAAGACTGTATTGATAACACAACAACCACCAACAACAACAACACTGCCACCCAATCCCACCAGCAACAACAAAAACACAAAAACGCCGCCGCAACCAACAACAACTTAAACAGCAGCAACAACTCCTTTACCAACAGCAACAACAACAAAACAACACAAACAACAACAAAACAACCCTCAACACCATTACAACCACCACCGTTACAACCACCACCAACAACAACAACAAAACAACACAACAACAACAACAACAACAACAACAACGGCAACAACACAAACGTCACCAGCAGTGGACCAACCATAAGAACACTCGTCGACGTCTTTATCGCAGTTGACGCCGTCGTATCCCTTCGGACACCGACACACCAGCGTGCCGTCGATGGCTGACGTCATGCAGGTGGATGCTCCCTGGCAGGGGTTCCTCGCAGTCAAGCAGTCGTCCCTGTATTGGCACCTCATCCCTGATAGTGGTTGTGATAATGATCGTGATGATGGTGGAGGTTGTCTATGATGATGATGATGATGATGATGATAACAAGGCTGACGATGCTTGTGATGCATTTTAACAATTGACTGATTATGCAACTGCAGTCGTTATTAAAAAAAAAACATGCGTTCTGCATAACAACCCCACCACATTGGTGGCTAGTCACCCCTTTGCAGGACAAACGATCACACACCCCCATCAGACAGGACACCATGCACATCGTCCAAACAACAACAACCAACCAACCAACCAACACGCACAACAGACACAACAAACAGACAGACAGACAGGCAAACACATCCAACAAAATGAACAAGTGACCTTTGTGAGTCGGCGGGCACTTGCAGACGTACGATGCAATCTTGTCAATGCACGTGCCGTTGTTGAGGCATGGTTCGTATGCGCAATCATCGAGGTCGGTCTCGCATAAGGAGCCCGTGTAGCCAAGCATGCACAGGCATAAGTAGTCATCTGGGGGGGGGGGGGGTGTGTGTGTGGGTAGGTGTGCGTGTGTGTGTGTAAATAAATTTCGTTTGTGTGTGAGTGAGTTGGTGTGAAAGTGTGTGTCTGAGTGTATGTATTTATTTATTTGTTTATTTACATTTGAATGAGCAACTATGTGTGTTCATGTTTGCATGTGCTCATGCCTGTCTTCATAACTTATTATATTGGAAACTAGCTGGCCGGGCGTACTTCCAACGCCTCAAAATTTATAATTGTTTCTTTAATAACAGAGTTTCAAAAACAAAAAGAAATAGTTATTAGCATAACATTTTGTTTACAGCTGCAGCTTACTTACTATAAACTACTAACCGCTTAGTGAACACAGATATTCAGTGTCCCCACAAGCATGTATATTAGAAATGGACATTCCAAAATCGATGAACAGAAAGTTCGGAACTACGTGCCTCGTTCATTCAATGCCCACCCCGATCACCGGTAGCAAATTATTTTCAGACAAACTCACAATGCTCCTACAAATGCACAAGCCTATTGTTCTTCGATTCATCGATAACTTTCCAATAGCTTATCATTATATCAATATTGTCGGATTGAAATTCCATCAACTAAAGACTAACAATCTTCAATAATAAAAAAACACCACGAGCTAACAAGGTGATTTGTGCGGGCTTTTTAAGAAACTACGATAACTATTCTGATAGGTATTTGGGCTGCCGATGAGTCCCCGGTAGGGACGGAACACGTGTCCAGTCTATCCAAACGAATACTATTCTTTTCTTCTCCCGCTTACTGCTCTTCTTGGTTCGGTGTCCTCAAACATAAGCGCAACCGCAACAATATCTTCCCTTTCATTTCCCGACGTAAAAACTTGCCAATAAAAACGGTACATGTTATATACATCATATATGTATTATTTCAAATGTATGTTAGGGTATGTATATATGTGTGTTTGTAGTGTATGTTTATATAAATTGGTAGTCGATCACTCTCAAATAATAGGGAATTTTCAGATACCAATAGACATTTGATTTTTTTTTTCCCGGTATAATATCTGGACTCAATTTTTATGTTCCCGAATAAATGCATTAAGTTGGCGTTTTAACTCGAGATACTGATGATGAGTCACAAAAGGGGCCAAACGCGTCTGGCCTAGAACGAGTTAGGTGTTCACAATAATGCACCTTTGGTCGTGGAGAGAGCTGGTGCACATTATTCATTCGTAGTGGCCTACCGTATTTGCATGAGCAGGTCAATTATTTTCAACCATAATTTAATCTACATTATATATATATATATATATATATATATATATATACATACATATATAATTATTATTTATATATTTACTTATTTATACAATAAAGTCAACATTATCTACTCCATCTTCAATTATCACTACTTGTCGAAACATAATTACAAATCATCGTCATTAGAAGGACAGCACCATCCAACATACCATCCGATGCAATGCATGTTCCCTTGTTCTTACATGGGTTTGGATCGCATCTATCCTTTTTCTCTGTACATTGAGTTCCTGGTGAGAATTTTATAATCATCGTCATTGTCATAATCATCATCATCATCGTAGTTATCGCTATCATCGTCGTCTTCATCGACGTCATCATCATAATTATCACCCTCTTCATCATCATCACCACCACAATTATCACCTACAACATCACCAGATTTAGCAACTTCCACCACCACATCATCTTCACCAGTAAGTAACATCCTCCAAGAACCATCATCATTACCACAACCCACCATTCCAGCCAGAAGTACAACGGCAGGTAGGTTTGTGGGACTGGCTGATGCAGATGCCGCCGTTGTGGCAGACGTGAGACTCGCAGACGTTCTGGTAGACCTCCTCCTTGTACTTCACGTTGTAGAAGTCAGCTGACGTTGGCGCCAAATACGGCGAAGTGTACGTGCAGTTCTTGTAGGCCACCGACGCTTTCAAAGGGTCAATAGTTCAAAGGTCGTGGTCAATCAAGTGATATTTGAAGTGATATCATTTAAATTATAAAAACAAAATAAAATAATATGTCATAATGTAAAAAGAACATTATTATTTTTTATTAGTAGTAGTAGCATTATTTTTATTCTTCTTATTATTATTGTCATTATTATTATTATTATCATTATTATTATTATCTTCATTATCAGTCAAAATGGCGAGACATAATATCATTTCACTGAAAAATGTCGCACAAAAATTGGACTGAAACTCTGTAATTACTTAAAAACCAGCGGCAAGAAAGAAATTTTATGTTTGTGTGAACAATTATCCATCGATTTTATCAAGGTTAATGATGACTTCTTTCAAGGTGGGTTCTTTAAAGGCATTGCTCAATCAAATAAAAAGAAAAATAATATAATCGTGTATGAATCATGCACATTTATTCAGGAGCCAGAGTTCGCTGATTTCTAAAACGAAAAATTTTGTTAAAGGTAGCTGGTCTAAATCAATAAAAGATCTTAGCGAAGTTTATTACAATTTTCCCAGAAGATCCAACAGTTTCCAACATATGCAAATTTGTTCAGTTGGGACAAAACACAAAGCCCTCTGTTCCAACGTTATTGCCTTCGCCAGACGAACAAAGATGAGGTCTCTGACTGGGGATCCAAGTCTGCTCTAGGAAGATACATCGAGAGACACAACAAGTTTAAAATCTGGGCCCCTGCTGACTGTATCATATTCGCAAATCTCTAGATCAGACGATGTTCACACCTGTTCAACACACTTTGACCTGACATCGCTATTCTCCAAAACAACAAAAATAGTGATTTTAGAATTAACCGTTTGCCATGAAACCAATCTCAAATTTTCCAGAGGGTACGAAAATGGTAAATATTTAAGTAGTTCAAAAACAAGTTTAAATTATAACTAAAAGCATTCCACAATTATTATAAATTGTTTTGAAATAACACCCGTTGGCTTTTATAACAATTCTGATCTTTCTTTGATGTTTCAATGATAATTTAATAAACACATTTACATTTAAATATACCTCACCGACTTTCAGTTATTAATTTTATTATCAAAAATTAACGCTATAACATTGTAGATATCTTACAGTTGTTCTGCCTGTACACGAAACAGAAGGGGCAGTTCTCATCGTAATCGTAGCAGGGGTTATCCAGAGCGCAGATTGGGGCCAGCTTTACTCCATTCTTGCAGTCACTGTGGTGGCAGTGGTGGTGGTAGTAGAAGTAGTGTGGTGATGAGGAGCCGATGATGAAGTGATAATGCGGCGATAATGTGATGATGAAATGACGACGAGATTACGGGCGATAATAACATCCTAACAAAGGCATGAAATTTAATTAATATTAAAAATATAAAACAAAATCCTACACAAAAACAACAATAACAACATTATTATTATTATTATTATTATTAGTGGAAACGATATAAAGCATACATTTTTTATTATTATTCTTATTCTCAATTCACAACAACAGAATTGCTCCAGAGAACATAACATCGTGAAAGATAAAATTCTCTTTAATTAACAGATTAAAAAACACGCCGCCAATCAGCCAAGCGGCCTGTTATTGTTACATCAAAACGAACGAAAAATAAATAATAAAGTTCTATGCATCCTTTAAAAAAATAATACACTCCCTGAATAGTTAAAACCGGGTAGTATTCAGTAATGTTAAGTACCGGTACGTGTTAATACATTCACGACAATGCTATAATTGTTCTCGAGTGAGATATTGAGACAGTGAGAGTGAGAAAATGTGCGTGTGCGTGTGTGTGTGAGCACGCGTGTGTCCGTGCGTATGAATGAATGTGCGAGTGAATGAATGAATTAATGAATGAGTTTGTGAATGAACGAATGAATGAATGAGTTCTAGCTTAGTTAATTTAACAGTTTTTAATAGCTGCTGACAGCAATCTAAATAAGAGATAACCTAATCAGTGCGATTATGGTGATGGTGGTATTATATGTTACGACTGCTTTTGTTAATTTTTAATAAAATACAGCTTATTATGTTTATGATTTTTATTATTGCGTCTATCATTATTATTATTATTGTCATCATTGTGATTGTTATTATTGATGTTACTATTATTATTTCATTTTATTATTATTATTTTTATTATAACGGGAACTATTATTATTATTTTTATTATAACGGGAACTATTATTATTATTATTATTATTATTATTATTTTCCACTTCGGTGGGTAAAAAAATTTGGTATCCGTTGAGCTTCGTGAAATTAGCAGGATCTGCAAGGAGGCAATTATTTGGCGCTGACGATGATTACGATGTATGATGGTGATGATATTAATGGTCAGATGGTGATTATGATGATGATGGTCGGATGATGATTGTGATGATGGTGGTGATGGTGATGGTCGGATGATGATTGTGACAATGATGGTCGGATGATGATTGTGATGATTGTGGTGATGATGGTGGTCGAATGATGATGGTGACGATGCAAATGGTTGTGGTGATGATGATGTAGAAAATGTCAACACTAATGACCCTATAGACCATGATGACGGATGTGATAGTGATGAAGATGTGGCTGATATGATAAAGATGACGATTTCTTGACTATGATACCAAATCGATGATTATTGAAATGACGATGAAATGGTGGCATGTTTTACACCAAACTTGTATCACCAAAATCGACAGCAATTAAATCATAGTAACAACAATAACAACATAATAATAATAATAATAATAACAATAAAAACTTCAGTCATAATAAAATATGAAATCATAAAAACTGTATGTAACATAAATGAATTCAATGGAAACGCATCACAATGCATCACAATGCATTACAATGTATCACAATGTATGCAATTAGATACAGATCAGCCTTTAATTTATCGTGTGAGGGGCCACTTATAAATACATTAATGGAGGATATAAATGAATGGATAGGTGGATGGATGGATAAAAGAATGTATGAATGGATGGATGAATGAATGAATGGATGGATGGATGTATGGATGGATGGATGAATGGATGGATAGATGGATGTATGGATGGATGGATGGATGGATGGATGGATAGATGAATGGATGGATGAATGGATGGATGGATGGATGGATGGATGGATGGATGGATGGATGGATGGATGGATGGATGGATGTGGAGGGCACATGATGCTGGTATATCTTTAATTGACGAAGGTGAATAAACATGCTGTGTTGTTATTGATAATGATGATGACAATGATGAAGATGATGACGATGGTGATGATGATGTTGGCGATGAGGATAATAATGAGTAAAACTGGATACTGATTATAAAATAACAGTGGTGATGATGGTGGTTCTGGTTATGATAATGATAATATGGGGATGGTGGTGGTGGTCATGATGTGATGGTGGTTATGTGGTGATGGGATGATAAGACTTACTTGCAAATTGGTTTATCATCGTCGTAAATGAAGATGCACGTTGAGTTCATCTCGGCACACTGAATGCAATCTGTTCAAACATCAACATTCATCAACACAATTAACACAATGTTTCTATTGTTATATAATCATTTGTATACATATGCATATATATATATATATATATATATATATATATATATATATATATATATATATATATATATATATATAAGAAGAGACCACCAAATGCTTGAAACAAATTGCCAAAAGCTACACTCGAGAATGAATTGGAAACTGTACAGTATTCAAATTTTAATAAAATAAATAAAGATGATAAGAATTTGGTTAAAAATATTGAAAAATGTAATAAAAACTATCCAACGCTGAAAATTCGGTAGATTTCATAAATTATTGCATATATATATATATATATATATATATATATATATATATATATATATGTATATATAATAATCATTATTAGCAGGACATTTGAAACTGATGACGTCAACTGAAGAATTTTTGTATTAACTATTATATTATTTAATTATTTTTAATTTTTCGATTTTTCTAACGGTAGATCTTTTATCATTTTCACGTTTCTTGAGTTCAAAACTAAAATTATTATTTATTTAAAGCAAAAAGTAATTTTTTTTTAATTATTATGCTTATTTGTTTTTTTGTTTTATCATGCTTAAAATAAATACAAATTTTGGTTTTGAACTTTATATATATATATATATATATATATATGTGTGTGTGTGTGTGTGTGTGTGTGTGTGTGTGTGTGTGCAGTTTAAAAAAATCAAAACATTGATTGTGTTGTTCAATTTGCAATTGAGTTTTTCAATTTTTCGAACGACGAATTTGAGTTCATTATCAAGTTTGTTTGGTTCATAAACAAAATTTTTATTCGTTTTTTGCATTTTCGTTTCAATAATTATGTACATTCTAACATAAAAAACTTTTTCCTGACAAACATTTGTCATCATCATCAGTGTTGAATTCAGATTTTGTTTTTGTTTTATGTTTCTGTTTATATTGGTTTTTTTTTATTTTTTTTTTTCTGTCCTGGTTATGACATTAAACTGACCCTCACTGCCTTGTGAGTGATGTTGGATCATCAAAGGCTAGGCCGCTTATAACTAACCGCTAACCGCTTATAACTGTGGTTGCGTAAGGAAGGGCGTCCTGCGTAAAAATTAGCCAAATAAATTACTTATGATGACAGAAGTGACAATGGCCCTCAGTATCCGGCAGAATGTTGTCGAGGGGTATTTCGGTTTCATCATAGGTAGACAAACGGCAACCCCCGATCTCGGGGAAAATGTCGTCTAAACGTGTGTTGTTGTTGTTGTTTATATTGGTTTTGAGGTTACTGGAGTCTATCTGATTGAGACTAACAAATTCAGAATTCGAACAAATTCACTTAATAAAGACGCAGTAAGAAAGTCTTTCAAAACTCACAAACACATAGAACCATATCCG